ATTTCTTTGTTTTCTAGATCAGTTTGGGGAGAGTTGACATTCTAGTAATACTGAGTCTTCTGAATCATGAACATGGTATATCTTCCCATTTATTTAGATGTTCTTTTAATCTCTCAGCAGTGTTTTGTAGTTTAATAGGCTTTGCAGATCTTTTGTCAGATTTGTCCTTATTATTTCATATTTTGAACGGTAGTTTAAAATTTTTTAGGTACCATTTGCTTACTGTTGGTATGTAGAAATACAGTTGATTTTTGTATGTTGTATACTACTTTCTTTACATTCCATTGTGTAGAACTTTGTCCCTACTGCTCTCACTGCAAGTGTGGTTGGAGAATGTTACTGTCTAGCTATCTTTCCAGAAAGAAAAGAAAATGAAATTAATAGGTCACTAGTAATAGTCCAGATACTGACTATGTGGTGAAAATATTCAGGATTTAGAAGTCTCTTGGATTTATTTTCTTCTTAGTATAATTTTTAAATTTTAACACCTTCATATGAAGCAAATCATTGTGAAGTAATAGATAGGTTCACTAGTGAAACATAAAAAGTAAAATCAATTTAAGCAATTCAAGTATCTGCTGTTTGATAAAAGTGACATTTCAAAACTGCTAAGATGAACTTGGAATTGTGATTTAATACAAAATCTTAGTAGCAATGCAGACGTAAGAGATACCTATTAGATTGGAAGTTGGGGGTCGCTTGTATATAAATGGAGTTTAAAGCATGAGACTGGATGAAATCACCAAAAGACAGAATAGAGCTGGAAAAGTCCATGGACTGAGCCCTGGGTATTCCCAAGTTCAGAAATTTAGCAGGTGATGTAGTAACAAGGAAGGCAGAAGAAACAAACCATGAGTTAGGAATAAAATTAGTATGGAAAGTCAAGTGGAGAAAATTTTTCAAAAAGGGCAGCGCAATCCTTGAACCAGTCGATATGTCACACAAGACAAGAACTGAACATTGGTTGCTCAATTTAGCAGTGTAGAAACCGTTGTTGACCTTGACCAGGACAGTAACAGGGAATTGTGGAGACAAAACTTGATTCAGAGGGACCAAGAGAAAATGCAAGGAGAAAAATGGAGAGAGGTACCATAGTCAACTTTAGAGGAATTTTGGTCTAAAGAATCAGCAGACAAGCAAGGTGGTAATTGGAGAGGGCTCTGTGGTTCCACAATTTTGTTGTTGTTGTTGCTGTTTTAAAATTAAAGAATTTATAAAATGTGAGTGTTCTGGGGCGCCTGAGTGGCTCAGTCGTTAAGCGTCTGCCTTCAACTCGGGTCATGATCCCAGGGTCCTGGGATCGAGCCCCACATTGGGCTTCCTGCTCAGCAGGAAGCCTGCTTCTCCCTCTCCCACTCCCCCTACTTGTGTTCCCTCTCTCGTTGTGTCTCTCTCTGTCAAATAAATAAATAAAATCTTAAAAAAAAAATGTGAGTGTTCTGATAGGGCTATAGTAGAGAAAATAGACGATGTGAAAGAGGGGGGAGAATTGTGGGAACCACATCTTTGACTATTAAGAGGGATCTAGTATACAGGTAGGGGCCATAGAAGAATGGTCCATTGGAGCAGGATTGTACAAGAAGGAAGGGAAGAGAACATGGACCCCACTGCAGGTGGTAAGTGGTAGATGTGGCAAGTGATTAAGTTCTCATCTCATGCTTCCTGTGTTTTTTCAGTGTAGTCAAAAGCAGGGTCATTAGCTACAGGTGAGGATGGAGGAGAAGGGATGGGATAGTTATGTAGCATGAATGGACTGGAGAGAACTGTATTATTATTGACAGACAACACTAAAAGTCTCCCTTGAGGTTAGTGGTTATGAACTTAGAGTGAAAACAGCTTAGTTTTTTTTGTTTTGTTTTATTTTGTTTCGTTTTTTAACGCCAGTCTTGTTCGGCTGCCTAGGTACAGGTCCAGAGTAGGCAATGTTATTTATCCAGCATTAGGTTTTGTCAGGCGACTTTGAGGAAGCATGAGAAAGGTAAAGGAGTGAATTGAAGCTAGCTTAAGAGGGAAGTGAGAACATGGGTTGGTGAGGGACAGGGAGGAGGTGGGAGGGGCAGCCCCACCTAGCAGATTTAGAAGAGCTGAGGAGTGAGAGGGAATGAAAAGTAGAATCTTTGATTTGAAATTGCAGAGGGTTTTCAATTATAATCAGATGAAAACCAAGAGTGGAGAAGAGGAGATCAAAATACTGGATGGCTAGGACAGTGGAAGGATTATCTACGTGGATACTGAATTTGTGCTCAGAACTTGAAGACCTTGTCTATTAGTTTCTAATCATCTTTTGTTTCTGTTGGACTCTGATAACAGTTTCAGCGTTCTGCCTTAGTAAGAGTTACATGGCTGTTCTTTCATAGTTTCTGTTTTGTGGTATTAGCTTCATTCCTTCTATTGCATTTTAAATTTAAGCCATTATATTTCTAATTTCCAAGAGCTCCTTCTTGCTTCTGATTAACTTTCATAGCATCCCTTTCTAGAAAAAAATTCCGTTTTTGATGCTGTCCATTATTTGCTATAATACGAAGAACCTGATTCCCTTTTCTCCCTTAGGTTTATGTCTGTGCTCAGGTGATTATATGTTTACATACAATTTTTTCCCTAAGCGTATTGAGGAAGTGTATTGAGTTATCAAGTTAACTTTTAAATATCTTCTTATTTTAGGTATCAAAAAGTAAAGATGGAAAAGAACAAAGCGAAACTGTATCACCGTCCGAAGATGAAACATTCTCCTGGCCAGGTCCCAAAACAGTCATGTTGAAAAGAACATCTCAAGGCTTTGGTTTTACATTAAGGCATTTTATTGTGTATCCCCCAGAGTCTGCAATTCAATTTTCATATAAGGTAAGAGAAATCATTGTGCAAAATAATACCTATTTTCAAATTACTGAAAAAACTCCACAAAATAATTCCTGCCTCCTTCTTGTCTTCCTCTCAACCTCCCCTCTTACCTTGTGTATGAAAGTGCTGTCCTTCTGACAAAGGGCACTTAATGAGAATGTTATTGGCACACTTTGGGGAGGGTGGTTTGAATTGAGTTGAACCTTGCTGTGATGTCACTAGAGTTTATAATTAAGTATTCATATATGGCTATATTTTTTTATATTGTAGGATGAAGAAAATGGCAACAGAGGAGGTATGCTATAAAAGTTTTAATTTTTCTCTGAATGTTTATCTACATATTTTTCTGCTCTTGAAGTAATAGTAAATGAGCTGATACTGTTTTTTGGAGTCTAACTGTATAACTCTTAGAGGCGAGAGTCTTAGAAATCAAATAATTTTACTGTCAACTGTTTACTGTTTATGGATGCATTGTCTCATCATGATTTGAACATGTGATTATTTTAATTATATATTAATATTTATGTGGAGGAACATAAATGATTCTGAGGAAACTAATTCTGATATCTTTATTTAATTAATAATCATCTAAATTTAATAATTCTTTTAGGTAAGAAATGCTGTGTGTTTTATCTAGTAGATTTATTGACTCAAATATTGAAAGGTAGAGTGTTTTAGGTCTTCCTGTAGTTAATCTTACTCCTGACTTAAGCATTATATTTAATGAGTTTAAAAGGAGAATCAGGCTGCGGATAGGGATATTTCTTGATAACATCCACATATTTTTGTTTTAATTTTATATGAATGCTAATAAGCTAAAATCTGCATACAATAAAATGCACCCATTTTAAAAACTTTTATTTCTAGATAATTTGAGACTTAAAAAAAAAAAGTTGCCAGAATAGCACAGTTTACATATATCCTTCATTTGACTTCCCCTAATGTTCAACAACTTATATAATCATGGCACAGCGAACAAAAGTAAGATACTAGCATTGGTACGATACTGCTGTCTAAACTACAGACTTACTTGGGTTTTACCAGTCTTTCTCCTCGAGTCCTTTCTTTGTTACAGGATTCCACTTTGCATTCAGTTGCCCCGTGGGGACACGTGGCAATATCTGTAGCCATTTTTGACTGTCACGATTGGTGGTAGTGGGGGCAGTGCTTCTGGCGTGTAGGTAGAGGCCATGCGCACAACATCCTGTGGTACACAAGACAAGCTGTATTCACCGTCTGGTTGAAGACTTAATCCATGCCAGGCATCATAGTGTATGTTCTTATCCTATTTCATACTCATAATAATGCTGAGAGGTGTGAGCCAGTATTCCCATTTTGTAGATGAGGAAACCCAGGCTGAGTAAGATGTGAAATGACCTTCCCAAGATCACACCACTAAGGAACAGAGCTGAACTTCCAGACCAGGTGTCTAACTCAGAAGTTCATCTGCACTGAACTCTGCCATCTTTCTTCTCTTTACTTAACTTTTCTTCATTCGTTTTTGTTTAAAAGAAATACTGTGTTTTGGGGCGCCCAGGTGGCTTAGTCGGTTAAGCATCAGACTCTTGGTTTCAGGCTCTACACTCAGCAGGGAGTCTGCTCGAGGATTCTCTCTCTCCCTCCCCCTGCTCACACGCACATGCGCTGTCTTTCTCAAATAAATAAATCTTTAAAATAAATAATGCTGTCTTTTAAAAAAATAGTTTGACTTATGTAAAGTCAGGAATCAGTGGATGAAATAGGGTATATTTAGTATGTTATGAAATTCTGTGATATTTCTCTGCCTTGAGAAAATTAAAAACAAAGATGTTTAGGGACCACTGGGTGGCTCAGTCATTAAGCATCCACCTTTGGCTCAGGTCGTGATCCCAGAGTCCTGGGATCGAGCCCCGCATCAGGCTCCCTGCTCAGTGGGGCTGAAATAAATAAATAAAATCTTAAAAAACAAAAACAAAGAAGTTTGTTCCATATTTGTGGATACCTAAAGACAAAGAATTCATATAAAAGTCAGAGATATTCCAAGTTTAAAAGCCCCGAACACCTTATGGGGGCAGTCATCACTTACTACTCTATTCTGAATGCCTGGTTAGCAGTGGACTCAGAACGTTCATTGAGTTAAGGAGTGCCTAGTGTTCTGCTCCTTTGCCTCCCAGGAACAAGGTTTGCTCCTGTCATCCCGTTGGTAGTGGGTCACGGGCTAGTCTGCGGAGGCCTACTTCACTAAACTACAGCACTCATAATACCTTTTCAACTCAACCATCAATCAACCATGAGAATATATTTTATGTGAAAATTTTTCTTTATAGATCATTTGTTTGAGAATGCAACCAATTTAGAGGCAAACTACATTTAGTTTATTATTTTAATTCAACTGAACATTATTATTTTTATTTTACAGTTTTATATTCTCTTAAAACTTATTTCCAAGCATAGTGAGATTACAAAATCCTTTTATGTAAATTTTGTTTTAATGAAATGGAATCCCAGCCTCCAGGGTAATGATCCAAGTCAAAGCCTAGAATCACTGGAGAGGAAGTAATTGCCAGACATTTATTCAAACTCCTAAGAGATCCTGTTATAATGCCAAAATTCTGTGAAACAGCTGAAACGTTTTGTTTTAGTGTTCTTTCCTTTTGGCAATTTAGTGGAATCTCTTTTGCCACTTAATTTTCTGATTATTCTCTTACCCAACTTTCCCATTCTATTATGTTTCTTATATACTATATATGTGTACTGTCTTGTGTTTTAAAATTATTTTTTCTTATTGATTAGTTTTCTGTATTATGATGCAAATAATATTTACAAGAAAAAGGCCATCAAAGTAGAAAAATATTTTTTGGTGATAATAGTTGCTTGTAGATACTTGCTGTCTTGCTGCTGTCCTGTTATCCCTTAAATCTCTGGAGAAGATATTCATAAATAATCAAAATAAGAATAAGTAAAAGTTTATAATTACTATTATTTCTTTTCTACTTATTCCGTGAGTAAAAATTCTGTCTCAGTTTAATTGTAGGGACATTTCCAGTGTTTTAAAAATGTGTTTATCATTTTGTTAGGTATTAAAGTAACTGTTGGATTTCTACTTTGGGATTAAAATCTATATTTAAGCATTAATAGTAGAAAAAAAGTAACTGGGATATTACAAATTTTCTCTGTAGTAAAAATTTGTGTTTTGTGATCGCAGTTGTTTCTGACTAGACAGCTTTGTAGCCTATGTTTGGGTTTTTTAACCAAGGCTCTTTTAGTGGCAAGAAATAGAAAGTTCCGGGGCAACTGAGTGGCTTAGTCGTTAAGCTCCTGTCTTTGGCTCAGGTCATGATCCCAAGGTCCTGGGATTGAGCCCCCGCCTGGCGGGAAGCCTGCGTCTCCCTCTCCCACTTCCCCTGCTTGTGTTCCCTCTCTCTCTGCCAAATAAATAAATAAAATCTTAAAAAAAAAAAAAAAAAAGAAAGAAATAGAAACTTCCACAAAGTACCTCAGGAAAGATGTGTTAATTCTAAAAAACCATCAGGGCATCTCCAAATTCAGTGTCAAGAGCAACAGGATACCTAGGGACCCACAGGCACCAGAATTAGGACCTGGAAAGCTACTAAATGCAGAGAGTAACAACAACAAAATCTTGGCTCTGATCTTGCAAAGACCCAGACTCTGGTATTTACTGGAGGTTCTAAATGACTTTCATAGTTAACTTTGATTATACCTGGTTTTTTCATGAGCCGTCATCTGTGTAAGGTACAACCCTGACTGTATGTTCTTCCTTCCTCTCTCATCGTCATACTTCCAAATCCCTGAGCGCCAAATCTGATTGGACCTTTTCATCATTTTATGCCAGCTGCACAGTACCCACTGTGCCTAGAGACCAAATAGTCTTCCATTTAATGAAGAAGTAAATTCTAGAAAGCTGAGAAAATTGGGTATATTTTATGCTACTAATTTCCATTAATAGGCTGGAAACCTATTCCCTCGGAGTAATATAACACTAAAAAATGGACCTGAAAGTTTGTTGTAAGAGGAAATTCTTATTATGGGCAGTCCATGCTCTATAGTGTGGAGTAAGGCAATAGAAGCATGTTTCATTATTTCTAAGGTAGCGATACTAAATGAGTTCCTTGGGTCTCTGCTGACATCGCAGAGCATTAACTAAACCCCTTGGGACCCATTTTTAACTATATTGACAGTTCCAATGATTTGAGTTTCTCTTGTAGGTAGGTAAATATACTAATAAGTTACATATTTTTATTCATTTTTAATACCATTCAGTAGACTATCCACAAGTGTCTGACATTATCTTGAAGTTACTTTAGGAACTAGAGATGATGGTGATGTTGAAGAAGAAGGAAGAGGAGGAGGAGGAGCTGGTGGTGGTGGTGGTGGTGGTCATAGTGTGGTGGCAGTGGCCGCCCCTGACTTACAGTGTGTCTTGAAATTTTGCATGGACTGACTCATCAACCTTCTTGGGTGCATAGTATCACCTCCAGTTTTTAGATGAGGAAATGGGGGCATGAAGTGTTCAAGTAACTAGCAAGGGGCAGTATTGGACTTACGAACTGAAGCCATCTGGTTGTAGGGTTACCTCCCAGTTTCTACCATGACTTCTCAGAAAATTCTTTACTCTCATAATTCATCCTTTGAAATGTGTGAGAAAGAGGGTTCTGTTCCCTTCAATGGTAAAGAGTGTGAAAAGATTCTAATTCAACTTTCAGATACAGTTTTGGCTAACCTCGTATTAGCATTTCATACTTGTTCTTTAATTTTCTTCTTTGTCTTCCTAATCGAACATGTCCTGTTGGCTTAAGTCTGCTCAGCAGCAGGGATACCACATCATTTGCTTTAGTATTTGCAACTGATTTCCATCTTTGATGTTGTTAGTGGTTTTGATACCTGTGCACTTTATGACTGATAGAGCTGTTGTTGATATTTTTCACTTATTTTTATGAAATGATAAGGGCACTCATAGGTATTTACTAAAGATCACTGAAACATTTGCCTGCAAAAATGTTTATATAGGGGTATTCATAGCTGCTTTATTCATAGTCAACAGGCAAACACTGGATTCAATCTAAGGACTCATCAACATATGAAGAGATAATGAAATTGTGCTATACCCATGCAGTGGGACACGCACAGCCTTGTGGCTCAATCTCCAAAACTATTTCTTATATTAGGTGAAATTTACAGAACATAAAACTCACCATTTTAAAGTGAACAGTTCAGTGGCATTTAGTACAGAATTAAAGGACCTGTCTGAGCATCTACCACCTCTTTGTAGTTCCAAAACATTTTATTGCTCCAAAA